GTAGAACTAGCTAGCAAGGGCGACCGCATTGTTTGAGATTATCTCCGTACAAGCTCCAAAATTCAATATGAATTCCTGAATTAGTGTGTTGGCTATGGTGATCGCTTTGGCATCTTCCAATGGTACCGAAATCAGGTATTTAGAGGATCAGTAAATGATGTTCAAGATGTACTTCTTTCCTGTGGCCAAAAGTACGAAAAGTTCCGAAAGGTCTGTGCCGATCCGTGCAAATACTTGTGTGTTAACCAGGGCGCGAATCGGAGTTCGGGATTCTGGAGTGGGATTTCGTCGCATCTGACACGGCACACAGGCCTTGCACCACATCGCAATGTCGGCTGCTTTACCTGGCCCAGAAATACTGCTTCATTTTGGCTAGATTTTTCTTTGTTCCTAAATGGCAACCTGCTAGCGGGCTCTGATGGAAACAGTCAAAAATTATTGGCAACGCGCACTGGGCGGGCCCGTGCGATCATGCGTTTTTCCAGTATTTCGTGCTTTGATAAGATCACTCGAATTTCCGCTAGATAGAAACCTCTGTCATACTGATCCTCGAATTTCGGGAAGTTAATTGCCCGCACTGTACTTGCACAGGGAACATACCTTTAACACCCCAGTTTCCAGCTTCTTCAGTTCTCGAGTTACCCAAATTACAGCTAGAAAATTTCACGGGCCGCGCATGGCAACTACCCATAATGGGGGCTGAATTTGATAAATTTAAGTTGTAGATGAACTGGGAAAATTCGCTGAAGGTTTCAGCCCCCCAGCTTTTCCAAGCTAGCGATTTTCGCGCCAGGAACCCTCACGGGGCCGTACGCGGGAAACGCGCATAACTGGGGGCTGAATTTAAAATCTTTGAGTTCTATATGGACAGGGGACATAGTCCCAAAATTTCAGCTTTCTAGCTTTTCTGGTTCCCAAGTTAGCGATTTTCCCGTCAATACTTTGAGGCGCTCGTACGTGGGGCCTAGACGTGGGTGAAGGTTGGTACCGCGGTCCTGCGGTGGCATTTGGCCTTGGAATACACTCGCAAAATTTTGGCGCCGGAGCTTGCTTGTCTGCCGAGTTGAAATACCCGGCACACACACACACGCACACACAG